AGAATACATTATTCTTATAAGTGTATTCCAATATTAATTAGGAAGTATCGCTCTTTCTATTTTAATAAAAAATTAATTCGTTTTCGTCACTGTCAGAGTACTCATCTTCATACTGCAGGAGTTCGGAATGTTTTTCATAAGTCGATTGAGGATTGTGTTCAGTTTTCTTTTCATTTGACTTGTTAGACTTAGGTTTTTTTTAACCCTAAATGGTAATTGAGTTCATGTAGCTTAACATTCGTGCTGTGGGCAGAAAGTTACCGCAACCAACTTCAGAAACATATTCTGATAAACTTATTACACCTTGCAGAGTAGACGACAAAAGCTTGCTTCTTGACTTAGTTTTTACTCGATTCACTTTGGAAAATATTCTTTCACAAGTTGCGCCAGAACGAGGTAACGACAAAACTAACAACGCAAAATCACCTAATTCTTTAAAGTTCTGTTTTTCATAGATGGTTTTTGATTCTCTAATATTGTACCAAAAGAAATCAACTGCACATAAACTAGATGCTAAGTTTTGAAAGGAAATCACCTGCTGTAAATTTCTCTACTGATCATCAATGGCTTGTATCAAATTTACTTTTTAAGGTGAAACAAAACGCGGAAGTTCTCTAATCAATGGTTCTTTGCTGCTTGATCGTGTAGAATTTTTTGAAAATGCTATTTCTGGACTTAGCCATGCTATTTTCGAACAGAGGTTTGTTTCACTAAGATCATACCTCATTCGTATTTGTTCACACACTGTAATTAATAGCTGTTGACATCGAAAAAGAATGTTCTTTACGTCTTCTGATCTTTTAGCTATTTTCTCATTTTGTTACTCTCGCAAAACTTTAATGCCGGTATAAACTTGATTTAATGGTACGAACATAGAACTATTTGTTGGATCGATGAGTTCAAGCTTAATTCAGTTTACTTGATCGCGGCTCATATAAGCTAACAGTAAATCAGAATACAAAGATTTCATTTTAGAATCTACAAAAGTAATCAAAATCTTATCATTTTAAAAATATTCATTAGCACCAACAATTTTTTGCAAAACCTAATCAAGAAAATAATAATTCATCTTGATGAAAGAATCATTAAGATCATGAAAAGTTTGTTCTGCGGCAACTAATTTTTCTTCGAAGCATTTAGAAGTAGAAAAGGCTTGAAGGGGTTCCCATTGTTCTAAGAGTCATTGTACAACCTAAAAATAATGTTTTATTAATAATGAATTATAATTTATTAAAATTAAATTGAATTATATAATTTAATTAACTAATTTAAGAAATTTGAGAAAGTTGTAAAATTTTTTGCGGTTCTACATCAAAGAAAACTTGAAATTCAGTGAACTGAGCTTGTCTTTTGCTGCTGTTTTTGAAAAAAGAGTAAGTATTCCTGGCTAAATCTTCACACCTTCGCTCGAGGAAGAAATTCACAACCTTTGCTATCACACAAGTCTAAAGAATGACAAATGCATTTAAATAGTGAAAGACCAGGTAATAATTTTACCTTTCTAACAGCAACACCATTTTCAGTTCCAAACCTTGTATTGCAGCCGTCACTTGCAAAACCAATAAGTTGCTGTATTGGTACATTTTCAGTTTTAAAGCTTTGAACTAAACATTTTAATAAACGTTCAGCAGTAGCACTTTCATTAGCTGCCTCAGGATCTTCGCCACCAAATACATTTACTAGCTTCCAAAATCGAGTTTGAATAGACTTGAGTCTTTCATCGAAGTATCGAACACAAACTGCCAAATTTTTTACGGTGCCAATATCCGTTGATTCATCTATGATTACACTAAATTTTTGGCATTTTAAAATTAAGGCTAATTCTTCAAGACAAGATTTACCAATCACATTTCTTATAACACCCGTTGCTTTAGTTTTTCCAAGTTTGATTGATTTTGCTATTTCCGAATCGTGGAAGGCAGATTTGATAAGTCCACGAAGGTGATCAGATGTTTTAAATGATAAATTGTGTTCAACAATAAACCCGCACAATTTAATCTCTGCTTCTTTTACATGTTTTTCTATCTCTGATTTTTCGTTACTTTTCTGAAGATTATCTGTAATTACACGGTACTACAAAATATTTTTTTAAATATATTTCTTATGAACCTATGGCAGGTTATAGGTCACACAAAATTAAGAAAAATGGTGTATATAAAATTCTTCAAACACCCCTAAATTTTCATTTTAGAGACAGATAACCATTTTTACGTATGTTTATGCATAAAAACCTTTGTAACTTCCTCTTTTCTGCACCGATTTAAATTTTTTTTCATTTTGAAGCTGAGAAACAGAGCTTTTTAGCCTATATTCGATATTTTGGATTAAATTAATATTTATAAGAGAAAAATTACAAAAATGTTCAAAAGTTGTCATTTTTCTCTCAATTTTTCAACTTTAACTGATGTTTTCATCGTTAATTTTATAATTTTTCTTCTAGCGCTATTAAAGCGTATTAAATTCTGCATCCAACGAGCCGTATTTGAATAGATTTTGGAAAAATTATTCTCGCGAATAGAGTACTGAAACAGTTAACTGTGGATGAAGGATCGGCCTTTCCTGAAGCTAAAATAGTATTAAAAGAAGATTTCTTTGTTGATGATGCTCTTTTGGGTAGAGATAGCATTGATGATGCATTGAAACTCAAATCGGACTTAATGTCACTTTTAGAAAAGGGTGGTTTCCGATTACGAAAATTTAAGTCTAATAATATTCAACTTCTTGATTCTGATACTGATAATATTGAAGCTCATAAAATATGTTTTGATCAGAAAGAGATACCTGATGGGGCTGTACTGGGTATTATTTGGCATTCACAATTAGATGAATTTCATTTATCAGTTTAATTAAAACAATTTTCTAGATGGACAAAACGAATTGTTTTATCAGTTATTTTACAAAAATTTGATCCTATGGGTAGGGTCTCTCCTGTAATTGTTGTAGCTAAACTCTTTATGCAAGAATTATGATTAAGAAAGTTTGAATGGGATCAGGATCTACCTCAAAACATGTTAGAACAGTGGCATAGTTATTTTTCTGCTCTTTCGTGCACAAAAGAAATAGTAATTCCTAGATGGACTGGCAAAGAACTGAGATGCACTTTTGAGATTCATCGTTTTGCTGATGCTTCATTTAAAGCTTATGCTGCAGTTGTATATTTACGCGTAATAAATCGCAACGAAACACCCATTACGTCAATAATAATTATTTCAGAAACTAAAGTAGCTCCCTTGAAAACTGTAAGTGTTCCCCGACTTGAACTTTGTGCACTCGTTTTATTAGCCAGATTAATTAATATAGTTCAGATCAATATGAAGTGTAATAACATTTCTATATACGGGTGGACAGACTCAGCTATTGTTCTTGCATGGTTAGCTAAACCCCCATCCACTTGGCGCACCTTTGTCGCTAATAGAGTAGCTGAGGTCCACACGATCTCAGCAAATGTAAAATGTCGACATGTTCCATCGGATGACATCCCGCTGATTGCGCATCACGTGGTCTTAGTCCTAAACAGTTACAAAAACATGATTTATGGTGGTACGGATAAGAATGGCTACCCAGTAAAAAATAAAAGATACAAGAAAAGTGGATTCCGGTTACAAGCTCAATAGCTGGTAAACGAATCCGTAAGAATCTAGGATACAAGCACTTTTCCGTATCCGAAATGCTCATAAGCTTGTAAACGCACTGAAACGAACGACTTTTGTAGGGCTTTTAATCAAGAAAAACAAGTAAATGAATGCAGAAACGTTGAGAAATTAAATTAGAAGCAAAAATAAATAATTATTTATTAAAGAAACATACACTTAAACAAAAAACAATTATTCTTACTAATTCTAACTTCTGCATTAAAAACATTGTGAAAGCAGTGTTTTGTTGGTGATTTTACCTTGTTATTCGGAAAATATGGTTTTCTATCTTACCGACATTGGATATTAATTTAACGCGGTTTTTTCGATTTTCTAATTTCAAAAGCAATTCAAAATAATCAAAATGTTATTAAACATAATTAAGTGCTTATTTTTAATTTCCTTTACCACTTTTTATTAAATAATTTTGGATTTCTATTGAAATTGAAAATTCGACAAAACCTGCGTTAAATTAATATCCAATGTCGGTAAGGTAGAAAACCATATTTTACCAATAACAAGGTAAAATTACCAAGAAAACACTGTTTTCTCAATGTTTTTAACGCAGGGGTTAGAATTGGTAAGAATAATTTTTTTATGTTTAAATGTATGTTTCTTTAATAAAGAATCATTTATTTATGCTACTAATTTCATTTCCCATCGTTTCTGGATCCATTTAATTGCTTTTTCTAGATTAAAAGCTTTACAAAAGTCGTCCGTTTCAGTGCGTTTACAAGCTTTACATCATTTCGGATACCGAAAACTGCTCGTATCGGAGATTCTCACGGATTCGTTTACCAGCTATTGATCTTGTAACCGGAATTCGCTGTTCTTGCATCTTTTATTTTTAACTGGGTAAAAGAATCCGAATCTGCTTGGCCTTCGATTATTTTATTGAAATCGATAGAAAAATGTGAATTACGTAAAATTAATCCCGTCATCATAAGAAATAATTTTAATCGGTGTAAAAACAATCCTTATCAATTGTTTGACAAAAATTTTGGTTGAGCAAAACTTTTGAGACTTACTGCCTATTGTCTAAGATTTATTTGTTTATATCGGAAGAACAGAACGGTAACGTCTTCTAAATTTTTAAAGACTTCGGAACTAAATAATTCAAAAATATTCTCGTCGAAACATGTTCAAGGTCAGTGTTTCTTTGATGAAGTCCGTGATTTAAATAAAGAAAATGGCGAGGATTCTATAAAAAGCAGTAGTTCTATCAAATCTTTTACCCCCTATTTAGATGGAGATGGAGTATTAAGGGTTACTGGGCGTTAAGGTGATGCTCCAATATCCTGGAATGCAAAAAATCCTATAATACTACCAAAACACAAAATCAGTGAATTTAGTATTGAATCAGTTCATATGCGAGCTTTACACAGTGGACCACAATTGACACTTTTTCTCCTTCGTCAGGAATTTTGGATTATAGGTGATAGAAATTTAATACGTAAAGTTTTTCACAATTATGAGGTGTGTGCTCGTCAGAATGCTGTTGGTTTATCTCTACTGATGGGAGACTTACCAGCACACAGAGTAAATCTTTGTAGAGTTTTTTTACATACCGGCCTAGATTATGCTGGATCCATCCAAGTAAAATCAACTAAAGGTTCCCAAAAGGCTTATATCGCCTTGTTCATTTGTTTGTCAACTAAAGCAGTTCATCTAGAACTAGTTTCGGACTACAGTCAGAGGGATTTTTGTCAGCCTTTAAGAGATTTGTTTAGCGTCGAGGATTACCATCAGATTTATACAGCGATAATGGCACGAACTTCCAAGGTGCTGATAAAGATCTTAGAGGAAATTTTCAGACTTTAATGAAAAATCAGGAGATTCGTGCGTTTGTCGTTCATGATAAAATTAATTGGCACTTTATTCCCCCTTATTTCCCCCATTTTGGAGGGTTATGGGAGGCTGGGATTCAAAGTGTCAAATAGCATCTTCGACGTATGACAGGAACTACTCCAAAATCAAAATGGAGATTAGGACCAGGAAAAAGATGGTCTTGTGACAGCTGTCACCTTGAGAACCCAAAATGGATTCTATAAAAGACCGCTTTCAAAAATCTGTTGTTTTCCAACTGCTAAAGATTAATTTCTGCATGGGGGGCGGATAATGTTAATCAACTAGTTTTATGTTTTAATCTTTTTCGTTGTCAATAATTAATAAGATGATAATCGTTCCCTTTAAAGGAAAGAGGCGGGCGGTATGTTGGCGCATTCAAGGTTAATTGTTGATGTTTGTTTAATGGTGAAGGTTGCGTTTTTGCCTTTTGTGTGTTATTAATTATTATTAATTTTCTGTGTTTTGATCTGTTTGAACCCTTGCTCTCTGAATTTTGTCTCTGAAAAAGAAATCATGTCTTTGTATTGCCTTGAAGGGCAAATAAACTATTTATGTCCTTGCATAACCTACTGTCGACTCACACAATGTGTTTAAAGTGATGAGTCTAGACATGTAATAAAATGTTGAGAAAATGAGTGACCATCTTCCTTATGGTCAGTACGGGGCGCATGATTATTCCCCAAATTTCAATTACATAATTTTCAAGACATCGAAATTCTTATTATCGAAATGTCATTTCACATAATTTTTATATTGCGAATTACCATTTAACATAATTTAACATAATTTAAAAAGTGACAAAAAAAACTAAGTTTTAGGCTCATGGCTTGGCTTTGGCTTGAGTTTGACTCAAGACTTGAGTTTGGCTCGAGGCTTGGCTTTGGCTGGAGGCTCATGTTTGGCTCAAGGCTCAGGTTTGGCGCGAGGCTCATATATGGCTCAAGGCTTGGCTTTGGCTCAAGGCTTACGGCTTGGCTTTGGCTAGAGACTCACGTTAGGCTCAAAATTTGAGTTTGGCTCGAGGCTTGGCTTTGGCTCGAAGCTCATGTTTGGCTCAAGGCTTAAGTTTGGAACAAGGCTTACCTTTGGCTCGACGCTCATGTTAGGCTCAAGGCTTGAGTTTGGTTCGAGGCTCATATATGGCTCAAGGCTTGGCTTTCGCTCGAGGCTCACGTTAGGCTTAATGCTTGAGTTTGGCTCGAGGCTCATATATGGCTCAAGGCTTGGCTTTGGCTCACGTTAGGCTCAAGACTTAAGTTTGTCTCGAGGCTCACGTTAGGCTCAAGGCTTGAGTTTGGCTCGAGCCGAAGCCAAGCCTCGAGCCAAACTTAAGCCTTGAGCCTAACGTGAGCCAAAGCCAAGCCTTGAGCCATATATGAGCCTCGAGCCAAACTCAAGCCTTGAGCCATATATGAGCCTTGAGCCATACTCAAACCTCAAGCCTAACTCAAGTCTCGAGTCAAACTTGAGCCTTGAGCCAAACATGAGCCTCGAGCAAAACTCAAGCCTTGAGCTATACATGTGCCTCGAGCTAAACTCAAGCCTCGAGTCAAACTTGAGCCTTGTGCCATATATGAGCCTCGAGCCATACTCATGCCTTGAGCCTAACGTGAGCCTCGAGCCAAACTTCAACCTTGAGCCTAACGTGAGCCTCTAGCCAAACTTAAGCCTTGAGCCATATATGAGCCTCGAGCCATACTCAAGCCTTGAGCCTAACGTGAGCCTTCGAGCCAAACTTAAGCCTTGAGCCTAACGTGAGCCTCGAGCCAAACTTAAGCCATACGTAAGCCTAGAGCCAAAGCCAAGCCTCAAGCCAAACCTGAGCCTTGAGTCAAACAGGAGCCTCGAGCCAAAGCCAAGCCTCGAGCCAAACTTAAGCCTTGAGCCATATATGAGCCTCGAGCCATACTCAAGCCTTGAGCCTAACGTGAGCCTCGAGCCAAACTTAAACCTTGAGCCTAACGTAAGCCTCGAGCCAAAGCCAAGCCTCGAGCCAAACTTAAGCCTTGAGCCATATATGAGCCTCGAGCCATACTCAAGCCTTGAGCCTAACGTGAGCCTCGAGCCAAACTTAAGCCTTGAGCCTAACGTGAGCCTCGAGCCAAAGCCGAGCCTAGAGCCAAACTTAAGCCATACGTAAGTCTAGAGCCAAAGCCAAGCCTCAAGCCAAACCTGAGCCTTGAGTCAGACATCAGCCTCGAGCCAAAGCCAAGCCTCGAGCCAAACTTAAGCCATGAGCCTTGAGCCAAACTCAAGCCTTGAGCCAAAGCCAAGCCTCGAGCCAAACTCAAGCCTTAAGCCAAAGCCCAGCCATGAGCTTAAAACTTAGTTTTTTTGTCACTTTTCAAGCTTTCAACACGGTGTAGCTCAGAAGGACTTGATTCTTGGAGGTTTTGACCTGAATATTTTTTGTTCAGGAGGTTATAATCTACAAAACTGCTAAGTTTAAAAAAATTTGACCGATAATTTTTTTTCCCTATAGCGTGTGCGGGGTCCTTTCAATTTTCTAAACTTTATTTGTTTTAATTGTAATTTTTCTAAAATCCACATAACCTAAAATTCACTGACACTATTTGCTATTTGACATAAGTCACAAAACACAGAAAATTTTAATGTCCTAAATTTTGTTTTGTCGATATATAATTTTTCATAATCTCTATTTCTTATAATAGTCACTGTACATAAATTTCCATTTTCGAATTTTCAAATAACATATGATCCAATCAACAGAAATTTTTTTTCACCTAAAGTATCACATTTTAGTTGTTAAGCAGTTGTTTCCTATTTATGTGTTTTATATTTTTTGATTAAAATAGTCGGTAAAGTAGATGTAGATTATACATAAACAAAAAAAAATGTTGTTTGGATCATATGTTATTTGAAAATTCGAAAAAGGGAATTTATGTACAGTGACTATTATAAGAAATAGAGATTATGAAAAATTATATATCGGCAAAACAAAATTTAGGACATTTGAATTTTCTGTGTTTTGTGAATTATGTCAAATAGCAAATAGTGTCAGTGAATTTTAGAAAAATAACAATTATAACAAATAAAGTTTAGAAAATTTAACTTTATGCAAAATAATATTTCGAAGCAGTAAAAATTATACTAAATGGATTTGTGATTAGATGAAAACTCTAGATAATTGAATTTCGAACATTTAAAACTTCTAACCAATGGCCATTCGTCAAAATAAATATTATGGCAACAGATAATTCTATTATTTAAAATTAGAATAAATGATTATTCAAAAAAATAAAAATTACGTTAAATGGTATTTCGCAATATAAAAATGATGTGAAATGACATTTCGGTGATAAGAATTTCGATGTCTTGAAAATTATGAAATTGAAATTTGGAGAATAATCATGCGCACATTTAATTAATTTGCTTAAAGAGAAGCAGGTATATCTCTCCCAAGAGGCCTCTTTTCTATTTTTCCAGATTAAATATTAACAAAACTTATTTTACTGTAATTGTCATAGTGAAAGTAACGGTTGAAAATAAAATAGAGAAATAATTTTTGTCGGCCCAAGTCAAATTTCCAACTGTGCAATTAAAATTGCAAATTTACAAGTTACAATAAATTAACAGTTAAATAAGGTTATCTTTATTGTAAATTAGATTTAAAAAAATTATATGAAATTGTAATAAATAATTTTGAAATAAGACATACGTTTCCAAATTTGTTGTAAACTTACTTCAGTTTAAGGTTATGTTATTGTACGTAGATAACAAGAAAATATTAACTTCTAACCTTGCACTATTTTTAAATGTCCTTTCTCTTTTGCGTGTTTGTTGATTCTTGAAATATCTGCAGTAAATTCTATATTACACAAACAACATTGAGCTCGCGATACTTTTCTTGTGACAGGTCGTAACCAACGAGACCGTGAAGGATTTTCTTGACATTTTCTTCTATATTTTTGTGTGCGTCTTTCCGCTTTTACCGAACTATCACCATGTATTCTTTTTTTTTGTCTGGAGTCTCTGAACGATCTCGCTTCCTCCCTCTATTTTCTTCACTTCTACACGGAGAAAAAAAGGAGAACCGCTTGATTTGGCAGTTGTGAGCTGTTCTCACTCGTCAGGGAGCAGCAGTTTCGCCGCGAAAAGAGAACTGTTAATCTTTTGAGGAGTAACCGTTCACCTTCAGGAAAGCTAACCTGCTTTCCTCAAAAAGCGTACTCCTTCACCCTTTGAGAAGCGAACGGCTCACTTTCCAAGCGGTCAAATAGCTGACTCTCGTTTAAGAGAACTGCTTTACCAGCGGGTTAAGCGGTACTCCTTTTTTTCTCCGTGTATATTTTTCGTTCTTCAAGTTCATTATTACACTACACTTTTAATAGACTTTTCTGGTTTGATAACATAACCTTTTCCACAGATAAACTTATTAACATACTATGAAATTTAAAGAAGTTCAAAATAACAAGAAAACCAATATTTTTGATACGCTAAGTCACTTAAAAAAATAACCAATGAAAAAATGGCTTTCTTTTTGTTTGATAACTACATTATTCTGATAGGTCAATGCTACATAGCGCCAAATTCAAATTATGGTACTTTTAAGCAGTATTTTACACGTCGGATTGTACATTGTACAAGACGGAAAATTATGGCACGATTATATAATTATGGTACGGTCTGGCAACGCTGAATTATTTTTTTCTCGTTTCGTAATTTTTGTAGGTATACATAGATACGACATCTAAAGAAACAATTTTAAAATTGGCAGGAATGATTTCAATGTTATTAGTTTTATTTTTTAAAAGACCAAGAGTCTTTGATACAGTAGCAACTTATTTTATTCAAAGCTTTGTTTAAGGCACAGTGGAATGAACATTTCATCTTTACACAAACTTATAATCATGTTATTCTATGTGGAGATTTCATTTCGCCAGCCCCTTTATGTTGACACCCGACATTTAATCGAAATGGTCGCAAATTATATCCAACTTTAAAGGCTTCTC